TGTTATAGCTTAGTATCACACGCAAATTAGTCACTGAATTGATGTATTTTTCATTTTCCCCTATCTCAACAAAGTATTGTAACATACCACTTTCTAGTTCAAAGGAAAAATGATGTTGTTTTTCTAAATGAGTGAATCTTCCTGTTAAACACCTAATGTTCTCACTTTCATCCATATTCTCTCCCTTTTCCTCCCTCTCCACCTCATTTCTGAAGAATATGGCCCTTAAAAAATGGCATGACTTCAGATCTTCTTGAGCACTGAATTCTTAATAATTCAGAACTGTCATTATGAATATTAATTATTTTACCTAAGCCGAAATAAAGTCATGCCTTCAAGGGCAAGAATAAGAATAATAGGAATAATAGTAATGACAACATCCCTTTACTGGAGGCACCCACAAAAGTGCCCCATCAAAATAGCTATAGAGCTACTGATTCCTACCCTACCTGAGTGGCCTGAAGCAGACTGTCAGGTCATACCTCTTTTTCAGTATATTTGCTTCTGGAACTTTGCTGTGCCATACCAACTAGATTAGAACTATGTATCTCCAATTTTTAAAATTGTACCTAAAATTACTCTACTTATCATTCTAAGAGAAAGTCTGATGAAATGTCATAGGAGTTTTAGGACGTGAATCACATAGAAAATACCTTATTTCCTTAAATTCTAAAGTAAGATTTTAAGATACACCAGGAATTTAATAACAAACTTTTCACAAAAGGGAAAAATCATTCCACTGATTCTCCTTTCCTTTATTCAAATTATAAATTAGGAAAACATTAACTGATTTACCACCTCTTTACAGAAGCTTTGGCAAAAAACACAAAACTTGAGTTTGGCAATCTATTCCCAAAATACTTGTTAGAAGAAAAAAAAAAAAGGTAGATGTTCTGACAGTTTCTGTGAAATAAATCTTTATTCTAGACTCCAAAGACAGGTTTTACAAAAATAGCATCATTTCTGAAGTCCACTGAATTATTTATAAAAGATCAGTTTATGAAACCATAGTATGCCAGAATTATTCAGAATTCTCAGCTAATCCAACATTCTTACTTTATATTTGATTAAATTTACATGTGGAGATTATCAATGGTTACTCAAAATCCAGTAATTAACTGGAAGCCACACTCCTGGGCTCAGACCCAGCTGCCCTTTCTCTACCCTGCTTTTCCTCATTGGGGCTGCATCCAATTACACTAAGATAAAAAGTCATAACAATAATAACAACAGTGGCCACACACTGAGTTCCCACGTAGTTCCAGCAGTAGGTACATTTATCTCTAATCCTAACAACAATCCAGAAAGAGAGGTATTATTACTCCTATCTTGATTCTTAAAAGATTTTAAAATTTTTATTGATTTTAATCTAAAGATTAATTTTTTAAACATAAAAAATTTTTAAAGAATTTTTTTTTTATATTTTATTTATTTATTTGACAGAGAGACACAGCGAGAGAGGGAACACAAGCAGGGGGAGTGGGAGAGGGAGAAGCAGGCTTCCCGCAGAGCAGGGAGCCCGATGCGGGGCTCGATCCCAGGACCCTGGGATCATGACCTGAGCCGAAGGCAGACGCTTAACGACTGAGCCACCCAGGCGCCCCTCTTTTTTTTTTTTTAAAGATTTTATTTATTTGACAGAGAGACACAGCGAGAGAGGGAACACAAGCAGGGGGAATGGGAGAGAGAGAGCAGGGAGCTGAGCAGGGAGCCCGATGCGGGGCTCGATCCCAGAACCCTGGGTTCATCACCTGAGCAGAAGGCAGACGCTTAATGACTGAGCCACCCAGGCGCCCCTAAAGAATTTTTTAATCTTTCAAGATTAAAATTAAAAAAGGCTGAATAGAGTTAAGCATTTTGCCCCAGTCACATCTGCTGGGATTTAGACACTGACCCCCTGCTGTGTCTGGAACATGCACTCATACTTCTGAGCCTTTGTACTTGTAAATTCCTGGTCAAGAATACTCTTACTCCAAATATCTAAGGACCACTTCACTTCTTTCAAGTTTCTGCTCAAATGTCACCTTATCAGAGTCTTCATCAAATTAAAATATATCCTCACATCTCTCTCTCCCACTGCTTTATTTTCTCCACAGCATTGTCTGCCACTTGAAAAATCATGTTTATCTGTTCACTGTCTACCTTTCTCTAACAGAAAGTATGCTGTATAAGAACCTTGAAGGACTCTCATTTTCTATTATAGATCCGTATTGCCTAAATATTGCACTGCAGACATGTATTTTTTTTAACTGAGGCAAAATATAAAACTTGCCATTTTAACCATTTTTAATCGTATAACTCAGTGGCATTAATTACAATCGCAATGTGTGCAACCATCACCACTACCTATTGTCAAAACATTTTCTTCATCCCAAGTGGAAATTCTTTAACCATTAAGCAAAAACTCCCCATTCCCCCCACCAACCCCGGCTCTTGGTAACCTCTCATCTACTTTCTGTCTCTGTGAGTTTGCCTATTCCGCATATTCATATAGGTGGAATCATACAATAGTTGTCCTTTTGTGTTTGGCTTCTTTCACTTAGCATAACCTTTCCAAGGTTCATCCATGATACAGCATGTATCAGAACTTCATTCCTTCTTATGGCTGAATAATATTCCATTATATGACTACATCACATTCTTTATCCATTCATCTAATGGACACTTGGGTTATTGCCACCTTTTGGCTATTATTAATGAGGTAGTCCCCCTCATTCACGAGTTTGCTTTCCATGGTTTCAGATGCCTACTGTCAACCGTGGTCTAGAAGCAGATGACCCTCCTTCTGACATACTGTCAGAAGGTCAGTAGTAGCCTAACGCTACATCATAATGCCTATGCCATTCACCTCACTGCATCTCATCATGTACACATTTTATCATCTCACATCATCACAAGAAGAGTGAGCACTGTACAATAAGATATTTTGAGAGAGAAAGCACATTCACATTAATTTTATTACAGCATATTGCTATAAATATTCTGTTTTATTAGGGATTGTTCTTAATCTCCTACTGTGCCTAACTTATAAATTAAACTTCGTACAGGTGTGTATATATAGGAAAAACAGTGCATATAGGGTTCAGTACTATCCATGGTTTCAGGCTTCCAGTGGGGGTCCTGGAACCTGTCCCCACAGATAAAGGGGGGGAACTACTGTAATGCTGCACTGAACATTGCTATATAAATATCTGTTCGAGTTCTTTTCAATTATTTTGTCTGTATACCTAGTAGTGGGGTTGCTGGGTCATACCATGATTCTATGAAGAAATGCCCAACTGTTTTCCACAGTGGCTGTATCATTTTACACTGAGTGGATGTAGGACCTTTGTCAAAAATCAATTGCCCATAGATAAATGGGTTTATTTCTTGACCCTTAATTCTGTTTTGTTGGTATACATGTCTATCCTTATAACAGTTCCACACTGTTGATTACAGTATCTTTGTGGTAAATTTTGAAATCATAAAGTGTGAGTCCTCTGACTCTGTTACTCTTTTCCTAGATTGTTCAGGGCCCCTTGAAACAGTCTATGAATTTGAGAGTCAACCTTTCCATTTCTAAAGATTGTTAGAATTTTGAGAGGGATTGCACTAAATCTACAGATCACTTTTGTTGGTATTGATAGCTTAACAATATTGTCCTACCCAAGAACATGAATGTCTTTCCATTTATTTAGCTCTTATTTAATTTCTTTTAGCAATGTTTTTTAACTTTCAGTGTAGAAATCTTTCACCTCATTGGTTATATCTATTAATCGGTATATTAGTCCTTCAGATGCTAACACATATAGAATTGTTTTCATAGTTTCCTTTCCAGATCACTTATTGTGGGTGTATAGTAACAACAGATTTTTATGTGTCCATTCTGTACCCTGCAATGTTGCTGAATTCATTTATCAAGCCCAGCAGATTTCTTTTGGATTCTTTGGGATTTTCAAATACAGAATCATGTCATCTGAGCAGATAGTCTTACTTCTTCCTTTACAGTTAGGTGTCTTATTTCATTTTCTTATTTAACTAGCTCTGGCTAGAACTTTCAGTGGAATGTTGAAGAGCAGTGGTAAAGGGAGCATCCTTGTCTTGTTCCTAATCTTAGTGAGGAACTTTGAGTCTTTCACCACTCAGTTTGACGTTACTGTGAGTTTCTCATAATTGCCCTACAGTATGCTGAGGAAGTTCCCTTCTATTCCTAGTTTCCCGAGTGTTTTGATTACAAAAGAGTATAGGATTTTATCAAATGCCTTTTGTGTATCAGTTAAGATGACCATCTGTTTTTTCCCTTTTTCTATTAATGTTATATGTTACAAGGACTAATTTTTTTAAGCTGAACCAAACTGTACTCCTGGGATAAATCCCACTTGGTCATAGTGTCCACTCCTTTTAATATGCTGTTGGTTCAGTTTGGTAGCATTTTGGATTTAACAGGCATGTATTTTGAAACAATGATCAGAAAATACAAAAATACAGTTATAGCTTATATTATTTTTTAGTTGTTAAGAACTATTTTTTAGGGGCGCCTGGGTGGCTCAGTTGGTTAAGCGACTGCCTTCGGCTCAGGTCATGATCCTGGAGTCCCTGGATCGAGTCCCTCATCGGGCTCCCTGCTCGGCAGGGAGTCTGCTTCTCCCTCTGACCCTCCCCCCTCTCATGTGCTTGCTCTCTCTCATTCTCTCTCTCTCAAATAAATAAAAATAAAATCTTTAAAAAAAAAAAAAAGAATTATTTTTTAATTGAGGGGAAAATGTACATCTTTAAGATATTCTGTTAAATACTAAATATTAAAATGAAGTGAAAGGAAATATTATCCCTTTTTATGTCAGTGATAAGTTTTACAACCTCTTTGGAATGTTGCAATTTTAAAGCTGTTGCTTAAGTATCCTTTTTACATACCTGCAAATATATAATGTAAAAAAAAAAAAAAAAAAGATCTACAGGATGAATGTAACATCAATAATTTAAAATCTACTCCTAAAACAAAAAGTAACAAGAAAATAATTTACCCCTTCATAGAAAACTTTTGCACAGTCCTTTGCTAATTTTCCAAAAAATAATACATTGATGGTGTTGATCTCTGAATTTGAATTTTCTTGTTCTATAGAGAAAAACACACATACAGAAAAATACTAATTAGATACAACAGTTTTACACACACAAGAAAATTGATGACAACTACATTCTAAAAACTATAGTTATTTCAAAATATAATTATGAAGGATAATTAAAATTTTTATAATTCACTTTTAGTTTAATACCTTAAGTATTGCAAAGATCATGCACAGAATACTATTAGGTACTAAAACCAAAATTGTAACAAGCTTCAACTAGAATACATTTTATAAATTTCTATAAATATCACATTAACAGCATAAAATAACTGCATTCTATTTATCTTCCATGTTTATAATAAAAAGAAACTGAATATGGTAATTATTCAATTTTTATACTATATAACGCATCACTCCCAAAGTAGTTTACTTTTTCTGAGCTTCTAGTAATCTACAGTGTCAGCACATTAAGGTTTTTATTTTGTTTTGTTTTAATTTATTTATTTGACAGAGAGAGACAGAGCGCAAGCAGGGGGAGCGGCAGGCAGAGAGAGAGGGAGAAACAGGCTCTCCGGTGAGCAAGGAACCCGACCTGGGGCTTGATCCCAGGACTCCAGGGATCATGACCGGAACTGAAGGCATACGCTTAATGGACTGAGGCACCCAGGCGCCCCTGAGCACATTAAGTTTTAATATAGGTAAGTGTATTTTCTCCTCCAGCATGCACAAATGAAAGAGTAAAAGAGCAGAGTGTGGGTAAAGACCAAACTATAATTTTAAAAATGAAATTTAATTGGGGGAAAAAAAAGAATTTCCACAATGTTCATTCTCCAGAGATCACCTTCTATAATCAATGCAGCAGGGCCAAATGCTAAGACTGAATTATACCATCTGAGGAAAGACTCATTCATATCAGCTTTCAAATATTCAACTACTCTAAGAAACTGCCATCATATCAGATTTTTATGCATCTATAGAGTATATGAAAGATCTTTCCCAAAATGATAGTCTTTTTTGTGTAACCTAGAACTCTTGAATCTGCTACTCTGTCAGGTCTGGTGGCGCTCACAGTGAAACAACTACCACATAGCTGACACTGACCTCTTCAACTCCTCAAACCAAGTGTTTACATAAACTGAAACACTAATGTTTCTCAAATACAAAAGCACAGTGGTTTCTAACCATAACATAACACACTGTTAATATCTTAAATGACCTATCAGATGTCTGTGTCTGGCCATGATGGACTAATAGAGACTGGGTTTATTCTCCAGTCTTAAAATGACTAGAAAACTAAGAAAAAATATATGAAACAACAGTTTTCAGGTATCAGACAACAGGGAGTGCAGGAAAGTGATCTGAGAAGGAAAATAAGGCAATATCCCTATCTTACTTCCTGGAGAGTTTCCACGCAGCAGAAAATGGAGCTAAAATCCAAACAAAGCTCAGCAGCCTTCCCTGAATTCAGAAGAGTTCAGATATGAGGATACCAAGGTGGCTAGAATGTGCAGGGCAGAGTGCTGAAGGCAGGACAGCAGCACAAACAGAGAGTGCTCTGGCGATCTGAAGATGGGTGCCTTCGGGTCTTTGGATGAATATTTATCTCCAAGTATATGGAAGGCAAGTACCTCATGAAGAGGAAGAACCATTTGAAAGGAACAGGCAGAACAATTCTGAGACTCACGCAGGGCTAGGAATTTTCTTGTTTCAACCAGACAGAATGGAATCCACACACACAAGGCATAGAGTAGAATTGTCAGAAGGGTATTTCCTTAGTGATATGGCCAAATTAGGCTGAAAATAAAGGCTGTTCTATATCCACCCCAACAAAGCTAATCAAACTGATTCCAAGAAAATTAAACGTATCTCAAAATAAAGACACATAATAGTTAAAAGATGGATAACAAATAAATCCAACATTTGCTAATATAAAATTCTAAATGTTTGGTATCCAGTAAAAAAATTACCAGCCATGAACATGATGAGGAGAAATGGAAGATATAAAAAAAAAAGTCTCAAAATGAACTTTCAGAATTGAAAAATATAGTATTAGAAGTTAACAGTACACTGAATGGAATTAACAGATTAACTGAAAGTAAAATGTTACAGAAAACCTAAAAACAGAGAAGAATCAATGAAAAGAAAAGCTGATTTTAAAGATCAATAAAATAAATATCTAGCCAGAATGATCAGGGAAAAAAAATGAAAGAGTAGTCACAACATTAAAAGTATATCAAATATATATTATGAATAACTTTATGCCAATATACTTGACAACTAAGATGAAACAGATAAATTCCTTTAGAAACACAAACTACTGAAGCTTACTCAAGGAAAAAAAGATAAAAAAGAAAAGCCCTATTAACAAATAAATTACACTGAACTTAGGGTTTGGAACTTCCCCATAAAGAAATTTTCAGGTACAGTTGGCTTCACTGATGAATTCTACAAACATTTAAGGAAGAAATAAAAGCAATTATAGATAAACTCTTCCAGAATATAGAAGAGAAGGAAGCACTTAACAGCTCTTTTCAGGAGAACAGCATTACACTGATACCAAAATCACTCAAAATCATCACAAGAAAAGAAAGACATGGAACAATATCCTTCATAAACTTAGATGTAAAAATCCTTAATCAAATATCTGTAAATTAAACCTAACAACGTATCAAAAGGATGATTCATCAGGCCCACTACCTTATCATGCTATTTTTTTCTTCAGACCACATTTCTACCTAATATTACTTATGTAATTATTTATTGAATTTATTTACCCCCCTAAAATATAAACTTCATGGAGGCAAGGGCTTTATTTTGGTCACTGCTATATCTCCCATACCTAGAACAGTGTCTAATATATAACTGGTTTTCAGTAGTTACAGAATGTTGTAGTTCAAAGTCTGTTTCCCATTCACTGCTGCAGGCCATTCTTCAATCCAATTTTAGGCTTCAGATGAGATCTATTTTGGTCCTCAAATACTCCATAGCTCTTCCTAGCCTACCAGGATTATTTCAGGGTTACTAGGAAGAAGGCATAATCTCATATAACTACACCTAGGTAAAAAATAACATGCTGAAAGGAGTGTTTTATAAGTTAAGTTTGCTAAGCTGTTTAGGTCACACTAGTGAAACCAGAAGTAGGGGGACCAGTTAGCTATTGTAACAGTTTAGATATGAGATTAAAGGAATCTGAAGTAAAATAGAAGAAATGGGTGAGGGGAGAGAGGATAGATGGTACAGAAAAATTTAGTGAAAAAAAATTTCATTCTATAGTTCTTTACACTACTGTGTATGTATTACCCATTAGAAATCATTTTTGTGCTTATGTGTGTACATATATATATTAAGTTATCCATTTGTAGATTATAAGAAAAGGTTAAGCAGAAACGGTCTTATTAAATTGTATACCTTGTAGGGCAATCTTCAAAACAGCTGTTCTGTTTCCACCATAAGTTAAAGAAGAAATAAGTGACAGTTTTCCCTAAAATGAGAGAAAAATGGTTATACAGAAAACCCAAAAGAGCTTATTATAACACCAAGAGATAAGTCAAAATTAGAAAATCTATTTTAAAAGCAATAAGCTTTTATTTTTTCAAAAAAATTCAAAGTACTATGTTCAAGTCACCATATTTAAGAAATGAAAGTGATTTTACTAAAGAAATTTCAGAAGGCCTAATTATTTAGGGTCATAACTTAATTTTTTAAACAATCTTATTATTAAATATTATCCAATTCCTCATTTTACAGATAAAGATGAGCTGGCTCAACTTCAGTTTCATGTTAACCCCTATAAGGTTGTTTCTACTGAAGAAAAATGAAGAGTTTGCTCCTTGAAAGAAATAAACAATAAATTAAAAAATGCAAACTGGTAATCTCATAAATAAGGGCAGTGTGGACAAAGCAATGAACTAAAGCACACACAAAGTTTAGTCCTCATTCTTCTGTAACTAACCAGCTCTGTCACCTTAAAAAAGCTATTTAATCAGCATCTCTCAGATAAAATGAAGTATTTAATCTAGGTAGTTTCTATGCTTTCTTCTGACTCTAAAATTTAATGATCCTATGAATAAATACATTATAGGTCTCTTTGAAAATTTCCACACAGAAATAAAATGTATTTAATAAAATTTAAAAATGGATCTCTAATACGTTATCTCCCACACTAATATTCCAGACTTTGATATAGCCAACAACAAAACCTATGTTCATACACCAATTTTACTTATAAGACAGGAATCAAAAAAAAATTAAAGTAAGGTTATCAGCTATGCATGATTCGGTCAAAAGTAAAATAGTTCCATTTAGAAGGTAGAAAGCTGTAAAGAACAACAAAAAGTTGGACAATGTAGAAATTTCAGCCTTTTTTTGACCCACCAGAGAACTGAAGTCAGAAGACAACTGACTAACCAGAAATCTAAGAAAAGAGAAGTACTTCCAATAAGAGAGGGGCAACAGTGAGTTGAGGTCACAAAGCAACCAACTAATCAGAAATCTTAAGAAAGAGAAGATCCCCAAGGAGAGATGGGTGGTAAGCACTTGCTTACCTGAAGTAAATGGCAAATGCTGCCTGACATTTGTCAGAAAATTCATCTAACATTTTTAATGAGTTGCTGAAGGCCAAGTGTGGGCTAGTGAGAAGACATGGAGCTTGTGGGAGTTGCAAACACAAGGGGAATTCACACCCACTTACAAGCTCGTCTCCAAAAACCTGATGACAAAGTCAGGCCAGGAGTCAGGGCAAGGGTGCTAACAGTTACTGTAGGAAAGCCTGCCTGAGTCTTCCCCATCTTGCTTTCAAAACAAAGTCCTTAAACTGCTGGGAGAAAGACAACAAACCTATGAATCTCATTAGAACTTTGATGAAAATGCATTGCAGAAAAAAACACTCTCTACCCTTCTAGGGATAAGGAGAAAGAGGTATACAGGTGTGAGGGCCAGACCTACAGCTAGGGACAGGGCAGAATCACTAGAAGACCTCACCCACAAGACCCAGGTTAATCTTTTTAATCTTTGTCTTTCATAACTATTCCAGAAGCCTTTCCCTTACCCCAAAGGAAAAGGCACTCTGGAGCTGCTCTCACAAACTACAGGGAACTCTGAAAGTTAACTAACTGCATCCCTCACCTGATGGCCCCAACCATGAGCCAGTAGGGCATGGCCCAGCTCCTGTACCTTCCATGTAAGATACTTTCAAACTTTTCTACAACTCTTACACAGCAAATGAACTGGACAGGTAGGCCAGATTTAACTGACTGCCAGTCAACCTGTGCCGCCTGAGTGACCTCCATCCTTTCTGGAGGGTCCCCAACAACTGTAAACTCTTTGTTTCCAAGGGTAGCATGTATGCCCTCAGTATTTGTGCTTCCGGTGTGAAAAGCAGAAATCAACCAAAAAAAAAAAAAAAAAACCAGTGTGATTTGCTCCTAGGGATGGTTGTAAGAAATATTCGAGTTTTTAAGGAAACACTTTCAGTTATTATGTGGCCCTCAGTTATAAATTAAGTAGGCAGTTTTACTCACAATAAGAGTTATCCCATTAGAAAGATAGTCTATAATTTGTTCCTGTCTTTAGCTGAAGTGAGCAAAGAAAAAATGGAAGTTGAACTAAACAATAAGCTTTGGAAGTTCAAGGTTGACTGAATAGTGAGAGACTTCCAGGGGGATTTATGTCCCCAGAGTTCTGTGTTTACATTTCAGTAAGGGATGAACCCTAGAGACAGTTCTTTACATTCTAAATGATGTATTTACATTCAGGAGATGAGGTTTTTCTGTCAGGAGGGGAGGGTAAAGCTGGAGAGCTGTCCTATATAAACTCCCAGATTCATAATTTCAAGGTTCCTTTTCTACAGTGCAAGAAATCCCCTTTACACACACAGAAAGACTTGTGATCCTCACCATATTGCCTTGCATGAGGAAGATGGGGGATAGAAAACTGACGCAGTCATTGCTGAGAGTAAAAATTATAGTTGGCCTATACTCCAGAAATCTCATGTTAGCTTTCAGGATAAAAGTGAATTAGTATTAGATATTAAAAATGTATCACCCCCAATATAAGAGTGGAGTTCCTAAGGTCAGTGCCTCTCAGATGGGATACAAATGCTTTTGTGCACAGTATGAACCTATTTGGCTCCTCCCGATCAACCAAATCTACTGAACTGTATGTAGCACACCAACATAGAATGTGGATTATACACTGTTGCTTGAGAGCTACTTGACCACTTGACATTTACCCAAATAAAATAAATACCTATGTTTACATAAAAATTTGTACATGAATGTTTATAGCTGCTTTACTCATCATTATAAAAAACTGGAAAGAATCCAAATACTGCTACACTGAGGAATGAAGAAATGGACTGTGATGGAATTCTAGTCACCAATAAAAATGGAACAGTACTGACCAACATAACAACCTGGAAGAATCTCAAATGCACCATGCTACGTGAAAGAAGCCAAACTAAAAAGGCTACATAGTACAGGACTCCACTTACATGGCATTCTTAAAAGGCAAAACATATACTGTCAGAAAATTGGTAAAAATTGGTTGCCAGGGGTTAGAATTGGAGTAGCAGCTGACTATGAAATTTGGGGGAGTGATAGATTCTTATACAGCTTAATTATGTTTGTGATTATATGTTCTTATATATCTGTCAAAACTTGCAGAACTGTACACTAAAAACAATGAATTTAAGCAGTAAAATGCATTTAACAAAATTCAAGAAACATATAAGAGGTATCTGCAGGTTAAAAAAAGGGTAAATATTCAAACTGACAGTTGAAAAATAAGAGACTCATTCAGATATATGAAAGAACAGAAATATACTTTGACCTAACTTTTTAAAATAAATGAGCATTGTTCATGAAAATGTGATAATCATGAGAAATAAGTAAAAGGTATTTCCTAGTTTTAACCCCACTGAATACTAACATGTTCACTTACAGCTAAAAGGAATTATTATAATAAAAGAGCTAAAACTGAAAAATATTTCACTAATACAACAAGTAGGAACAAATTTAAAAATATAGGTAGTTAGTAGACTGCATAATCAGAAGAAAAGAACTTAGCAAACAACCATATCATTTAAATGCCTCTATATCAAGCACACAAAATAAAAATGCTACAGGGGCGCCTGGGTGGCTCAGTTGGTTGGGCGACTGCCTTGGGCTCAGGCCATGATCCTGGAGTCCCTGGATCGAGCCCCGCATCGGGCTCCCTGCTCAGCGGGGGGTCTGCTTCTCCCTCTGACCCTCCCCCCTCTCATGTGCTCTCTCTCATTCTCTCTCTCTCAAATAAATAAATTAAAAAAAAAAAAAAAAAGAAACATTCATCTCATCTTTCTTTAAAAAAAAAAATGCTACAACTAGATACAACTCAGTAGTAACTTGTATTGATAATTTGTTAGAAAGAAAACTGAATCACAGCACTTTATCAATAAAATACATAAGAAACATCACATTAGTCAGCCAAATGCAAAAAAGTTTGACAATACTAAGTATTTGATAAGACTTTAAATGCAATGAAGTAGAAAACCAACTGTAATCCATAAAACTGTATTTCATACAAAAGAAAATACCAGGGAAATGGAAAATAAACATAAGAATAAAATACGTAAGAAACAAATGTCTATACAGAGAATATTGATTAGAAAAGCAAAACTGAAATGTAGCATTATTCTCTTTCTTTCACTATCAGACCCATTTTACTAATAAAGCCTCTACCTCATTCCTGTTACATTCTTTCCCTAGTCCCTAACTCAGGCACAAGAACTAAAATGAAAAATTCACTAACTATGCATAACAGAATATTGGATATGGCAGAAAAAAACATTCAATGAACTTGAAGATGGATCAATAGAAATTAATTTGAAAATTTCACTCAGGCAAAAACCAAAACAATACTGAAGAAAATGGAACAATACCTCAGAGACCTATGGGACAATATCAAACAGCTTGACATACATGTAACTGATATCCTGAAAGGAGAAAAAAGTAATCAGGTGGTAGAAAATAAAAATTCCAAGAAACATAGCCAATCATTTTCTTAATTTGATGAAAAACATTGACTTATGGATCCAAGAAGCTCAGTTATACATAAGCAGGAGAAATTCCAAGAAAAGCCACACCCAGGCACATGAGAGTCCAACTGCTAAAAACAAAAGATAAATAAGAAAAGAGCCAAAAGTAAAACAGGGCACATTATGTAAGAAACAATGGAAGCCAGAAAGCAACATAGTATGTTAAAAAGTACTGAAAAGGAAAAAAAAATGTCAACCTCCGATTCTATATCCAGTAAAAATTATCTTCAAAAACAAATGGGTGATGGGTATTAAGGAGGGCACTTGTGATGAGCACTTGGTATTGTATGTAAATGATGAATCACTAAATTCTACTCCTGAAACTAATATTATACTGTATGGTAACTAACTAGAATTTAAATAAAAACCTGAAAAAAAGAAAAAAAACCAAAGATGAAATAAAGCAT